AGTCTGCGTAGTTGTCATGCTTCCATTGGTACTTTCATATTTGAAATAGTCCTTGAGGAATGGTTCGATCCATCGCAGGGCTTCCCCCCTAAGGTAGGACGCAGTCCACAGGGCATAGCTCTCCTGGGTGGGAAACTTCTCGTCATTGAAGTGCTGGTACAGTTCGACCTGTAGCAAAAACACCTCAAGTTCCTTTCGGTTGCCGGAGTAAGTGTCAGGCAACTTGACGCGTAGAGTTTCCTTGAGTTCGTTGATGGTGGGTGCGTCGGGCATCTCTTCATTCTCAGGCTTAGACCTCTGAGACGAAGTTGGCGTGGTGGGGGTTTTCCCCTTCGAACTGACGACAGACATGTTGCTTTGTGTGTAAGCCGGTACCTCGTAGAAGTGGTGCTCAAAGTGTAACGCTGACTTCTAAACGATAGAAGACACAGAGGTTCTCTTGCGTAAAGGTTTACTTATCAGAGGAGGCAGGGGATCAGACACAAAGGCTTCAAGTAACACGTTACTAGTATATAACAAATACTGTATTGAGTTGAGCACGAAGCTCCTATCTAAGGAAATACTATCTACTTATATAGTGGCGTCGTGCCTAGTGGACTCTTGGGAACTCACTTGAGTCCTCGGAGTCCTGGACTCTTAGGACTCTTCTCATCATCCTGCGAGTCCGTCACGTGCCTAGTGGACTCCTGGGAACTCACTTGAGTCCTCGGAGTCCTGGACTCTTAGGACTCTTCTCATCATCCTGCGAGTCCGTCACGTGATACTTTCGGAACTACTATTCCCCGCTGCCCCTCCAGGTACCAGGGCCGGTCTCATGCGACCTCCCTCCTTCCTGTCCTGTAGTTGGCCAGCCTTCTTGTTCCGTCGTAACACTACCCCACTTGCCCCCTGTGACTCACACGTCACGTTACTAGGCCCTGGCCCTGTAACCATGATGTCATGTTACTGTAGCCGTAACATAAAATTGATACACCTAATTTAATCATCCTCTGCTCCTTGTCATTGAGCAGGTGTTGTTGTTTTTTAGGCAAATGATCTTCATCATAGCTTATTCTTCTTCGTCGCGTAGCTTCTTGCGCTAATGATCTAGAGAAGCCCAGCTGCTCATGGAAGGCAGCTTCTCAGTAAAGTCACAGTTTGTTTTGCGATGACGTACATATTTAGAGCAACAGGTGGATTTTGGACCAGACGTAACACACCGCTTCTTGGTCCGAACGCAGAATTTATAGGGAGACATCTCTTCACTAGATTTGTTGATACGAAGGGCAAGGGCGATTTCTTCTAGTCTTTTCTTTGCGCTATAGGTGGTCATGATAAAAAAAGAAGATGGCCTTGACTACATAGCAGACGTCTATCCCACCTATTTAAGCGATGGAGACGACGCTAGCAGGGAAGGGGGATAGTGGTACAGCTCACCCTACCCTTAGCGTTAGGAAAGGGATTTGCTAGGAAGCTGCATATAGGAAGCCATAGTAATTGGTTAGAAGGAGAAGACAAACTCAGACATCACGTGATGGACCACGCAAGACCATAAGGGTCCAGCATAGGCCAGGACAATGTTAGACCACGCAGGACCATGATGGACCACAAGGGTCTATCATACCATTAGGCACAATGCCACTATATAAGTAGATAGTTATTTCTTTGATAGGAGCTTCGTGCTCAACTCAATATAGTATTCTTTACAATACTATAACGTGTTACTTAGAAAGCCTTTGTGTCTAATCCCCTGCCTCCTCTGTCAAGTCAACCTTACGCAAGAAACCTCTGTGTCTTCTATCATTTAGAAGTTAGCGTTACAGCATAGTATCAAGAGAATACTACTGATATCTTGTCTACAGAAGACTGGCAGAACTTACAAAAGATTAAGAGTTTCTTATTATGCTTTCATGATGCTACACTTTCTACAGAGCCCCATGGTGCTACAATTAATAGAGTATTACCAACAAGGACTTTATACTTGAACAATTTGAGTAGGGTAAGATCTTATATGTAGAGGATGCCTTCATGAGAAGGCGAAGCTGCGAGCTAAACTTGAGAGCTGCAAATCTGCACAGCAAGAATGCATGTTCGAATTAGCATTAGCCTATGTTGCAATTTTAGATGGGCGAAGTTGGACAAATACTACAATTTAACAGACAGATCTCATGTTTATATTACAGCTTTAGTACTATGTCCATAGAATAAGTGGCAATACATAGAGGACAACTAGCCAATAGAATGGATTGCTAATGCAAAGGCAAAGGTACAGCTCTTCTAGAAAGGAGAGTATAAATCTACAGCAATCACAGTCCCTATGCCAGCCTCCTGTAAGGATGCCTCCTTACCTAGATACGCGAAGAACCTGCCTCAGAGCTGTTACGGTCACTACAAGCATGAAATCCGACTCGGTGTGGTTTCGAACCAGTAGAGGAGCACATAGCGAGTTACCCTATAGTGGGGGACGGTAAGGGTGTAGGGTTCAGGGTTGATGCAGACCTGTTGCGGTGGAAGGTTCAGGGCTAGGGTTGGGATAACCGAGTCGGGCCCGTTTTGGGTACTTAAGGAAACAGACTCAACGGGGTTCCCCCTTCATCTTTTTTGTATCTTCGTAGTAGACCTATAGGATAGCATCCGTTTAGCCTCCGACTCGCACTCTCATATGCTATTACTGTGAGCTGGGTGCCCTGTGTCCTTAACATTATACAAAAAAGATCACGCCTGCCGGGGACGGCCGTACTTAAATAATATCCCACACCGGAACGACTCAGGAGAACTACCGTTACACCATCGACTGCAACTCGGTGACGTTTCAGAGGAGAGACCTGACGACTTCAAATAGCCGTGATTCCAGAGATCAAGCTGGTAAAGTCGCTGATGCGTGGACGCCAAATAGGATACGAGATCCTTAAGAACCCCCTCCTAGCACAGAGGAAATTGTGGACAAGAGCGTTGATAGCTACGAGCTACCGGAAGTCAAGCTCTTTCATATCGGTACCGATACACACCTGAGGCAATATGTCGAAAAAGCCGACATCAAACATACCCCAAGACAATGACGGTCAACTGCCCAGAATGACTACCAGACAAACCACCGCTGCAGCTACGACCGCTGTGCCATCCGAAGACATCCCGAGTTGAATGGCCCACCTCGAAGCACAGATACAGGAGGTCAAGAATCTACTAGTTACCCTTATGGCAGCCCAGACCAGAATCCTGTCCACACCGCCGGTGGACGCCCCCATACCCACAGTCGAAGCTACGGAGCAATGAACGCCTCGCACACGAAACACCCCCGAGACAGTTCAATTGCCGCCTCTTCGGAACACTCGTTCTCCACTCCAACACGCATTATCTTCACATTTGATGATGTCAGTACAAACTCAAGAAGCACAAATCATTTTAGCTATGGAAGCTATTCAATCATCAAAAAAATTACTCTTCGCACTGCTGCAAAACTTTACAATGTGCCACGTTCTACGCTTAGTGACAGAATGAATGGTCATTCTATTATCCACGAGCGCCGGCCAGCAAATCACAATTTGACTAAAACAGAAGAGGAAGTCATTGTTCGATATATACTTGATTTAGATGCGAGGGGATTTGCGCCTCGGATAGCTGGTGTGAAAGATATGGCAAATCTCATTCTAATATCACGGGGAGGAAGACATGTCGGACAGTTCTGGGCTCATCGATTTGTCAAACGACCAGAACTTAAGATGCATTTTAATCGCGTTTATAATTTTCAAAGGGCATTGTGCAAAGATCCTGAGCTAATTGGCGCGTGGTTTCGACTAGTGGAGAAAATATGGCATCCAAGACTGTGATTTCTACAACTTTGATGAAACGGGCTTTATGATGGGCATAATTTGCCCAGCAATAATTGTTACGCGTGCGGACCGGCGTGGCAGAGGCAAAGCTGTCCAACTAGGAAGGAGAATGGGCTACAGCTATTGCGTGCATTAATAGTGAGGGTTGGAATCTCCCTCTGTTTTTGGTTGTTCAAGGGAAATTCCACCTCGCAAGTTGGTACACAGAAAGCAACCTTCCAGACAGCTGGGTGATCAAACCTACTAATAATGGATGGACGGATAATGAGACTGGTATCGACTGGATTCAACACTTCAACAAGCATACTGCTAGTCGAACAAAAGGGACATATCGCATGTTAGTACTTGATGGGCACGAAAGTCATGAATCTGCTGAATTCCAAGAGTATTGCAAAGCCCACAACATTATAACTCTTGGATTACCTGCTCACTCTTCGCACTTAACTCAACCACTTGACGTGGGGTGTTTTAGTGTCTTGCGCGCATATGGTTGGCAGATCGAGACATATGTTAAGGCTCACATCAACCATATCACCAAGGTCGAGTTCTTCATAGCCTTTAAAGAAGCATATTTAGAGACCTTTACAACCCAAAATGCAAAGGCTGGATTCCGTGGAGCTGGATTAGTGCCCTTTAATCCTCAAGCAGTTATCTCAAAGCTAGATGTCAGGTTGCAAACCCCAACATCTCGACCACTCTCTCGTGATGCAGATCCTTGGGTTTCGCAGACCCCTCGCAACCCCCACTGATGCTCTTTTGCAAACAACTCTTGTTAGGAGTCGTATTGCATGTCATCAAGGTAGCTCTCCAACACCAATTTTTCAAACAGTTGCTGCGCTAGCGAAGGGTACAGAACTGTTAGCTCACGAAGTGACCCTTTTGTCTGCTGAAGTGCACACACTTCGTGCAGCAGATGAAGCCCTTAGCAAACGCCGTCGGCCTAAAAAGAGCCGTATCCGTCAAGGGGGCGCATTTACTGTAAAGGATGCACACGATGTTTTAACTCAAAAGGATGTGGATGAGCAGGTGCAACGTGATTTGCGTGCGAAGGGCGGGGGTCAAAAGGGAGGGCAACCAAGAGCACGACATTGTGGCACTTGCGGTAAGCCTGGTCATAATGCGAGAACTTGTCAAGTAGATGTAGATATGCCTAGTTCATTAAAATCCGACTAGTCGGATTCAATTTAATTGTGTTATGGCTGTTTAATTGTATTTGGAGGCAGTAGCGTCACGAAAAGTGTCCGGGGTCATGATATGTCCGGGGTCATGATAAACCACGTTATGATTTTACGCTTTATAAATAATCATGATTATGATTACGACTAAAAAATCATGATTATAATTGATTTTCTAACCATGTACAGCTCGAGCTTTCTTCTTGCCATCTCTGATTGTCTATAACCACCTACCTTGCTGTTGTTGACTCCTGTACCCGTGACTCCCAAAACCAGCCTGTCGATGTTAGTCTACCACTATCATACGATTCCCCTATCCCTCACCGTCATAATCATCCCATCCACGCCCTCTTCCCAGCCCTGAAATAAATCATGCCATCCAAAACAAGAAGGGACGATGGTCCAGGCACATCCAGGTACTGCCCTATCCCCTTTGATTCACCTCTCCATCTCCAACAGAAGGAAGGAGCGACCAAGCCTTCCTTCCCTCTTTCTCACCGTATCCCATACCACCCACCACCATCTCTGAGAAACTTATCTACCCCTCTAAGGATCGATACTAGAATATGGGCCGATATTTCGCCGAACCGCTTCGCTTCGCCTGTTCTTTGTAGTTGTGAACTTTGTCGTCGGCGACCGCTTGTTCGGCAACCTTTCGTGTTTCTGTAAACTGGATGCGGTCAACACATACATACTTTGCATATTTGCACAACTAACCTTATATACTTGCTCCGTGGGAGCTGGGGGTGTGTGAATAGAAGCATTTTCTTCTTATTCTTTGATTAGGGACGCGACAGAGAGGTTTTATAGGCTTGGTGAGTCTGCATATCTCCGGTTTGGTCTTGGTTAGGCGTGGACTTCAATGCCACTTTGTCCTTGCACCTCCTCAAAGCTGAGAAGAGAGCCTGAAAGGAAGAATGAAGACAAGAGAAACCTTTATACTCCCACCTTTTATCTCTTTCTTCCTTTGTGGAGGCTTGGCTGACCAGGAGCCCCTTTTCAGAGCCTGCTCTTCAGCAACAAGAGCTCTCCTCACTTCAGGTCTTCAGAGATCGAATATCTTGCACGGCATCCCATTCAAAGGTATAACGAGGCTGATAACCCCTTTCTTTTGGCTTCTGCTGACTTCCTTTCACAGTTTGCTCTTTGCTTCTCCCAAAAGAGCGTTCTCACTCGAGAGTACTGAGAGATCGGAAAAATTTGCTCTCACTTTCGTTCAACAACCAGAGGTCGGAAACATTTGCTTCCCTTTTCTTTAACAACTAGAGCTCAGAAACATTTGCTCCCCACTTCTTCAACAACCGGAGCTTGGAATAGCTTTGCGGATATATACCAACTTTCTTTGATCGGTATCTGTGCAAGCCAACCACACAAATAGATCTTGCTTGATATTGCTGTCCAAGCTAGTCTGCTTCAACCATATATAACCTGTTCACTAAGGTGTGATCAGTTGAGAGTGTGACAGAATGAGACTCTCCACATACTTTGCCGACGCTGGGGAAGTGTTCGTATTCAACCTGGGTGATGAGCTTGCAAGTATCCCAACTTACCACATGCACTGAATATCCCCCCAATGCTAACTGAGACAGATGCAGCAAATCCTCGACGGCGACTATGTGATAGTCTACATCCAGAGCATTGGTGGCCGCCGGCCACCTAACGAAATCAACCCGACGACAGATCGGATGGTGAGAATTATGCCTTTCGAGAGGGACGGCGAGATCAGTGTTTCCGCGCGTCAAAGCTTCATCAGATTCAACAATCATTTCCGCAATATCCGTGAGCTTGTCTTCTACCCAACTAGGAAGAGCGGGAGGGTCACCCTCGACAACTTGAAGGGTTCAGGCCCGCAGGATACATCTCCGGACGCCAATAATAGTTCCATGACTGGCGAAGCTGGGGTGCGCATGGCAACAGGTGATAGATCCTGTTCGACATTCACCGATTGTGATGTAGATCCATCGCCTTCAGCGCATGATGACCGCATGGAGTATCTATTTGCAAATACCAAGAACATACGCCAGAAAGGCTCGGAAATTTCCTTCGGTATGGTAATTAACACCGAGAATACCACTGGCTATGAATTTTGCCAAATTGAACTCGCAGCCGCCGAAGGAGACAGGGTGCTCATTGTGGCCATCAAAGTCCCGAAGGAGAAGAAACTGTCCAGTCTGTACCTCAAGAAACAGCCACTGAATGTAGATATGCATGAGCTTGTCGTTCAACGCTTCATTGGAGTTGACAAAGGCTTCTTCACCATGAAGGAATATGGGAAGCAAGATAACGACGAGCCCATGGGCCCAAAGAGCCATACGTTTTATAACCTCGACCTTGGAGAAGATATGGAAAAGGACCTGTTCCAGAACTATTCACACGAGGTTGGGAGAGCGTGCCTTGAGCCGCATCAATTCAACGCTGGCCTGTTTGAGGAATGGCGCCAGATGATCCCATCCCATACCATGGACGAACATCTGAAGAATATTTACGAGTTGTACACCCAAGAGGCTCTGTTGGTCGTCGGGCAGCTGAAAACCCCCCCTATGGACAGTAGCGACGACGGCCACCAGAATCTTAGGGCCTTGACGGAGGAGAATGACCGGTTGAGACGTAAGCTGCACATCCTTCGAGACGCACAGACGTATGTGATGTTGAGGCGTAAAGATCTGGAGTTTGAGCGCGTCCAGGAGTACAACTTTGGGAAGAAGATCGGACCAGGTTTGCCGAGGACTAGGCGCACCACATCAGTCAGACGTAGGCCGACAAACAGCAACACGGCGCCTCGCCCTCTCACCCCAGCTCTGATCCACAGCAGCGGCAGTACGACAAACACGACGGCCCGTCCTCGCACCCCCCCATCTCTGAGCTACAGCAGCGGCAGTACGACGCCGACCAATTCTCCCGTTAGGAGAGCACAAATGGCGAAACTAGCCAAGGGGAAAGAAGTGCTTCCTACCGGCAATGACAAGCTAAAGGAGATTTTGCAGAGACTCATGTCGGAGCCTAGCTTCCAACGCCTGAAGACTGAATCGAAAGGCAAAAATACTGCGGGTGAACAGGCCCGCCTGCGTCGCCAAGCCGAAGAGAATATGTGGCTGGTTAAGATCCCTTCTCTGGGAAGAAATCAAGTTTCGGATTCTGGTGGTGGTGGGCTAGTTCGTCCTAATGTTGGTCATTCTGTGGGAAGAAATCGAGTTTCGGACTCTGGTGGTGGTGGGCTAGTTCGTCCTAATGCTGGTGGTGGTAGAAATGCTGGTGGCAAAGCTGGTGCTGGTGGCAAACAAGGTGCCAAAGCAGGTGCCAAAGCAGGTGCCAGAGCTAATACCGGTGCCCGACCAGGTTCCGAGGTTCATGTTGCCGTCGAATATGATGCTGATATTCAAACTGGTGCTGATACCAGAGCTGATGCTGGTGGCGATGCTCGTGCCAATACCATTGCTGGTAGCAATGCTGCTGCTAATACCATTGCTACCATGGATACTGGTGCTGCCGTGGGTGCTAGTCCTGGCACTGCTTTGAATGCCGGCGATGATGAGGACTGGGAGTCGAGCGACGATGACGAAGAAGGAGGTGTAAGTCTGACGCCCGATCCAGTCAACACTGAGCAGGAGCTGCCACCCCCAGCCACTCTGTGCAAGTCGCGTACTCTGGATGGCCAACGTGATTCCGAATCCTCTCTTTCAACCCAAGAGAGCTTGACAAGGAAGCGTAGCCAGAGTTCTCTTTCATCCGAGGAAGGTTCGCCAGCGAAGCGTAGCCAGAATGGTGGCGACGGAGTGTCAACCAGAAGCGTCAGCCCTGAGGACAACTTATCTTCCAACGATGACGGTAAAATCGAATCCGGAGGAGGAACACCAGACAGGGCTCCGAGTCCAAAGAAGCGCAAACTGTCTGATGACAGCGATGCTGTTCCGAGGGGTGGTAGATCAAACATTACGAAGTTGATGTAGTTGATGGGTTCTTGTTGTAGATGGAAGGTCTTCAATTTCAGGCTATAGGTGGTTGTGTTTTCGTGGGGTAATGTGTTTGTCTGTCGTTTTTCATGGTGGAGCTTACTGGTCTTTCCTTATTTGTGCTTTCTTAGACACTGTGTCGACTAGCACCGCGGAACAGTTTGCTGGCTTTTTTATATGCGATCTCTTTTCGGACAGATTCCAGCAGCTGGGTTCAGTTGTTCGTCATCTTATAGTTGTTTGGTTTTTCTCGAGAAGTACAAACTCCAAGACAGCGGTTTCTCACTTGAAGAACAGCATTCCTTCCTGGGTTACTGAAGAGGAGGCCGTTCCATAGATGGGTTTTAACGGAGCGGTTGTGTACGTTACTTTGATTTCACCTTTCTGAATAGCAAGGAAGGAATACAGATGCAATGCCTTTATAGACTTGATGCATAAAAAAGTGATCTTTAAAAGTGCCGTGAAATGAACGTTTTTATATTAAGATTTAAGATCTTTATTATAGACGCCATCCACGTGATCGTCCCACACGTGTGCAAGGGGCGGCACCAACCCAAGACTGCGAAAGTGGTCCGTGCGCGCCACCCATTTCCACGAACGAGGCTCCCAACACCGACGACGGGTACAGGTGGGACAAAGACGAACGCGCATACCAACCACGACCACGCATCCACACTATCTAAATTCCTGGGCATACGATCCAGCGGCCTGAGTAACGATCTCTCTACAATCGAACTGGAGCGGGTCAATTGGGCTGCTCTGCGGTGTTAGGGGCGCATCTTACGACCGGCGAGTTTACCAATATGGAGCAGGCGGCTGTAGGGGCAGAGAAGGCGCAGACGGCGATTGCGACGGATGCGGATCCGACGAGGGGGATGCCGTATCATGATAAGTTGACTGGGGAGCTGAAGCAGGCGATTATGAAGAGGAGGGTGTTGGAGAGGAATATTGTTGGTCCCCACCCCACCTCACGTTTCTTGTTTGTGGTTGATGCGTTGCGTACTTTTGGGAGCGGGATTGGGGGTAGTTGATGCGGGAGTATGGGAGTATTGGCTAACGGATTAGATGGCGCTGGATGAGACGATTTATAAGAAAGAGGGGGAGTACCTCGAGGACACGCCACATGGGAATGTGTTGACGGGGTTCGACAACTACATCAAGAGTATAACGAGCAATGCGGTGGGGAGGAGGAAGCAGGGCGTCAGCGAGAACGATAGAGTGTTTTCGCGGAGCAGTGTTAGGCTGGCAGATTTCATGGTATGGACGCACATCCCCATCTCCTTGCTTGCCGCTTCACCGAAGACGCCGTGGAAAGTACAATGCTGATGTTAATAGGATTCTCCCGGCGGACTGTCAACACAGACCACGCCTTCAGGGGCGCCAACACCCATTTCGGCTGGGTTCGGGAGGGAGGGGAGTGGGAATGCGACGCCCACGAGCGCTACGGCGCGGGCTGGGGTGAAGAAGAAGCGTGGGAAGGGAGAGGGGGACGATAGTGAGATGGAGGAGAGGGAGGGGAAGAAGGCGAGGGCGGGTGCAAGGAAGTAGAGGAGAGCAGTGAGTGAGAATATCTGGCGTATTGGCGATGGGGACAGGGCGTTACTGGGTGGAAGGGGTTGGGCTGGCGATAGAGAGATCTTTTCGAGTCTGGGGAAATGCGTGTGTGAGCTGCAGCTGCAGTGATGATGCACGGTGATGCGCGGGTTTGGATCGTCTCTGCTGCCCCGCCAAGCGCGATGACAAGCTTTGAAGGTGGCTGGCAACCAAGAGTCATACTATCAGTCATAACATGCAGCTCCAGCTCAGTCAGGCTGACGGCTGTGAAGCTTGTTCTTTATATCGAACGCAAGGGGGAGTCACATAATTAATCTCATTGCAATGTTATTGACAGTAATCTGACGTTAGTATACGTCTGATATATCGAGTCAACGTGAAAATGAGAGTTGTCGTTGGTTGATCCCCGAATATCAGCTTTTTCTTTTCGTCATGGGAATGATGGGGCCTTGGGATGGGGGTCCAGGACTAGCGGCTGAATTCAGTTGGTACGTGCTTCGCTGGCGCAAAATAAAAAGTTTTAATGGGATTTTTATATCTCCAGTGGCGAATGGGTAAAAAGAGCCAGAGAAACAAACGCTCAACGATAAATGTAAAATACAAACTGGCCTTACATATTACAGTATGACTCTGATATTTCCCCCCCGTAGTCACAAATGCAAATATAGTTTGTTGTAGTCTGGCGATAAGCAGGGGAGTGAACTTCTTAGCTCGCTTAACCCGATCGCCTCCGTCCCTAGTGCTAGTGGCGCACTTTTTCTGGTGAGGCAAAAAAACTTCATATTAAAGTAACTTCAGCTTGTTCACATCACAACCTCACCACTTTCAAAACAACAACACAACTCCAGAAATAACAACCCTACCCTAGATCCTTGAACTCTCAATTTGAGAGTTTTGGCATCTAGCTTTTTTACCCCAACAACCTCACCAACAAGTCGCAGGGTCTCGCTCTCCGACTTTTCAAGCCCCCCACCTTTTCCACCAACACCTTCGCCTTTTCTAGATTTCAAGCTCAGCTTGAATCTAGAATTCCTCAAGCCTTTTCTGCAAACATGGCTTCCGCCGATAAGGGTCTCGAGGAGATCCCAGAGGGTAAGATACACCCCTTTTGGACGATACTGAGTCGCGAACTGTTGTTGAACTGTGGCTGACAACATCACCAACAGGACAGATCGAGTCCAACTACGATGAGACCGTCGACTCTTTCGATACCATGGACCTCAAGGCCGAGCTCCTCCGTGGTGTCTACGCCTACGGTTTCGAGCGCCCATCTGCTATCCAGCAGCGCGCCATCATGCCAGTCATCAAGGGTAAGGATCTCACAACACAAAAATATTTTTCGCCACGACGCGACTAACAACATAACAGGACACGATGTGATTGCCCAGGCCCAGTCCGGTACCGGAAAGACCGCCACCTTCTCCATCTCCGTCCTCCAGAAGCTGGACCCCAACATCAAGCAGTGCCAGGCCCTCATCCTTGCACCAACCCGTGAGTTGGCCCAGCAGATCCAGAAGGTCGTTGTCGCCATCGGTGACTTCATGAACATCGAGTGCCACGCCTGTATCGGTGGTACCTCCGTCCGTGATGACATGAAGGCTCTCCAGGAGGGTCCTCAAATCGTTGTCGGTACCCCCGGTCGTGTCCACGACATGATCCAGCGCCGTTTCCTCAAGACCGACTCTATGAAGATGTTCGTTCTTGATGAGGCCGATGAGATGTTGTCGCGCGGTTTCACCGAGCAGATCTACGACATCTTCCAGCTCCTTCCTCAATCAACCCAGGTCGTTCTCCTGTCCGCCACCATGCCCCAGGACGTCCTTGAGGTCACCACCAAGTTCATGCGCGACCCCGTCCGTATCTTGGTCAAGAAGGCCGAGCTTACCCTTGAGGGTATCAAGCAGTTCTACATCGCTGTTGAGAAGGAGGACTGGAAGCTCGACACCCTGTCGGATCTCTATGAGACCGTCACCATCACCCAGGCTGTCATCTTCTGCAACACCCGCCGCAAGGTCGACTGGCTTACCGACAAGCTCACTGCCCGTGATTTCACCGTCTCTGCCATGCACGGAGACATGGACCAGGGTCAGCGTGACCTGATTATGAAGGAGTTCCGTTCCGGATCCTCCCGTGTCCTGATCGCCACCGACCTTTTGGCCCGTGGTATCGATGTCCAGCAAGTTTCCCTGGTCATCAACTACGATCTGCCCGCCAACCGTGAGAACTACATTCACAGAATCGGTCGTGGTGGACGTTTCGGACGTAAGGGTGTTGCCATCAACTTCGTCACCGCTGATGATGTCCGCATGATGAGAGAGATCGAGCAGTTCTACAGCACCCAAATCGAGGAGATGCCAATGAACGTTGCCGACCTCATCTAAGCGCCTTTCTCCAACTATATTACACATAATATTCGGTATATTCACGTATTCGACGCCCAGTTCAGTGTTTGCTTTTGATATCGAGTCTCGAGATTTGAAGTATCCTGTATTTGGAAGGTTGGAGTCTCTCCTAGCGGAGGGCCGTGAGAGTGAGCGGTGATGCTGGTTCGCCCGGCCCGTGGGGAAAAGTATCTAAGTGGGACTTGTTCTGGGGGGCGATTACTTTTGTGACATGGCGAAAAAGGGCCTATCTCGACAAAAGGTGGAATCGCTATTTCTTTTTGTTTTCTAAATATGAGTGCGCACGGTAGAAGAAGAGGGCCATTCGAATCGCGTATGCTTGGCCCTCCTTTTCTCGCGATCGCCAACCATCATCGTTCTCGACGTCTCTGCTGTTTGGTTGTTTTTATGAAACTTTGCACAACTGGAGCAGGCAGGCAAAAAATATAGAAGGCTCGAGTGTGCTGCTATGGATGATAATGAGCGAGGATTTTTCTGAAGAATGAAACGTGATGAGAGTCATGACTTTTTCTTTTTTGGGGAGAGACGCCTTTATGCTACGTGTGACGGAAGGGTTTCCTCCTTCACACCAATTGAAAAAATTCAATAAAAATAAGACCAATTCGAGTGAAACATGTTGATGTGAATGTCTTTATTTATTATGTATGGCTTTCGTAGGTTCTGTCAACTTTGGTTTATATTGAATTTATGTTGAGTTTATAGTCGTTTATCTTGAGGCTGTCGTTCCTTCCCAAACGTTCAGCCCGTTCCTTCCCTTTAACGTACCTTCCAAACGTCCAGTCCGCTCCTTCCATCTTAACGACGCGTTTATCCGTCTTCCTCACCACATCTATCATTCAACCCCCCCTGCCGCCTGTTGTCCCAGAACCAAATCTCTGTACTTAATCTCGTTCAAGTCCCATCGAACAGATCTGCAAAAGTCCCCAGGTTACAATGCCCAGGATATTGGACCAGCCGGATCCCAACCTACCCTTGTCCATAATATACAATTACTTTTTCGAACGCTACAATAAAGAATTGAAAGCGGAGCTGACAGCTCTCACCGAGGCCTACGAGAAGAGGGGAGGCGAGATACAAACCCTGAGGGAGAAGGTTGAGGAAACCCTACCTGCACAGCTGCTGCAACAAGTCGATAGTAGAATGAAGGCTATTGCCGAACAGTTCACAGCCGAGATGGACATGTTAAAAGAGGAGATCAGGGCATCGTTGGCAACCCAGACTCAGGACCGCAGCCGTCTCCTCAAGGAATGCGACGAGAAGCAAAAGGTTGAGAACCAAAAACTCAGAGATGAGTTGCAAGCCATGAAGAGGAAGTGTGACGAGATGTCTGAGCGTGTCGAAGCTCTCAAGAAGGCGACGCAGGATATGGGTGAGTCTTCCTCTATTCAGTGGTGCTGGTAACAATACTGAATATAAAAGAGCCCGTAGGCGACATCACTCGAGCCCGCAAAAGATCGCGGCCTACACTCACCGCACAAAAGTCGACGCTTACACTCGGCAACGAAGCTGCACTCTCCACCATCACCGATGTCCCGATTGCACAAGTCGACAAAGAAGCTCCACAGCCGAAAGCACACCAACAGGTAGCCGAACCCGAGACACCAGCACCAGATATGGACTCCTCAATCACAATGATCGCCGCAACGCCAACTGCCTCTGTTCCAGTCCCCGACATCCCCCGTTTCCACAATGGCCATATACGCCAAGGCTCTCTCAGCCTTGACGATTACGCAGCCGCATTTGCGCACCACGTTTCCTCCATCCGCACCGCAGACCAGAGCGTTGATAAGCCCGGGCCGGCTGAGCGGGAATCGGTCGGAAAGTTCGTACGTGGGATGAAGAAGCTCAGCGAGAGAATACGATTGGTTGAGGACCTGGGGAAGAAGGGGCTCGCGTCGACTGACCAGCAAACGAGAAGTGTGGAGCTTTTCTGTGGGTGGCAGTCCGTGAAGGAGGCTCTAGAGGGGTGGTAGAAGACGAGGGTCGGGGATGAGTGGGGATGAGAGAAGTAAGAGGTCGTAGAGGTGGGGGTTTAGTGATACATATGGTTGCTTTTTTGCAGATTTGCGTAGCTTCAAGGACAAAAGTCTGTCTATTTGGGGTTCAAATAATACCAAGGGTAGCGTAATAGAATAAGTGTCACATACGACCATAGACTCGGGAATTGGGCATCCCGTCCGCTGTGCTGTAAATGACCACTAGTGATACCCATACTCTTGTTTTATTTTTTTTGCTGAGCTTTTTAACTCTCTATTTTTTAAGTGGAGAAGGGAACATTCTGAGATTTTAGGATAAAGGATTACATACTGATGTTAGGGCCTGTCGTTTACGCCTCATGAAAAACAATAGTGGTGGCGATGAGGTGCATAAGTGTAACGCGTAAGCCCAGGGTCTCACGGGAGTCCAGGGAACCAGGTCAGAAGGCAGGAAGTGAGATCGTATTGCAAGACAGTAGGTCTACGTATGTACAGCGACTATCGGCTGGAGGCCTCCTTCTGAGGCTTCCAGCTCCTTATATCCTACGTTCCTACATGCCCTAGTTTACCGAGCCCTAGTGGCTCCACTGCCAGGCAGCCCCTGAGTTCAGGGCGGCCTCACATGATGGGCCGCCTTACAATAAGGGGGCTGTTCTGCAACCCTGAGCTCTAGCTATGCACCACACAAGCACAGGCGCTGTATATCCAATAAAAACGCATCATAAAGTCTACTCCCTTAATCTATTTATCCCTTGAGCTAAGTATGATGAACTGCTTTTTCAAGAAGTGCCTCCAATTAAACATCATCCCCACTAGGGCTCTCAATGGGCCAATCTAGCGGATCTAGCCTCTGAGGTTGATTTGAAACCGTGGCAAAGTTCTTAGTACATCGACAATATCCTCGTGGGTTTCTATAATAGGTCCTCCTTCCTCGTCAGTAGAATCATCACATAGCTTCTTTGCTAGTTGAATAGAGGTCATCCCATCCGAATTAACCAACGTTCTATCCGCGCCAACATCAAGAAGCGAAGTCAGTCCATTGAATATGTCATTCCTTGTAAACGCCCCATAGCGATCGAAAGCGTCATGTACGAAATTAAGAAGCAACGTGTTTCCACGTTTGCCTTGGCCGTTAATGCTAAGTCGGCCGTCATGTAGGAGCAAATTGATGGGCCTGAATGGCGAGACTCTCGGGTGTTCGAACCATGGGTATAGATGAAAAGGAGCATCTCCGTTGGTCGAATGCAAAGATGGGTCAGCACCAAGCACCAGGCAACGAACGGGCTGCGAACGCGTAGCACGTTGCCGAGCTATACCACAACGCCGCCATCCTCAATCTTCCACTCTGAAATGGCAAGTTCTAGCGCTTCTCCACTTCCGTGTACATGGAAGTACTTTCGAGACTTAGCTGCTGCTTCGAGAATCCTTCGTTTTAGTAACTTTTTCGCCAAAGCTACAAGTCCAAATTCGCAAGCAAATTGAAGCAAATTTATAGCTTCTGCGTTTGAGACTTCCTTATCACTCGCATGCCGCCACTTGTCTCTAATAGCTGACAAATCCGAGAAGAACAACGCATTCCTATCGATTAATTGCCAAAGGCCTTGTCTTGCAGTTGTTTCAGGTGTAGGTCCCAACTCGATTGTTCGTATCGGGCTAGAGAGTATCCATTGATCTCTTTGAATCCGTGCCAAGGACGTTGATTTCAACACATTTAAGCCATTCGTTCTGCATAGAAGACAGCAATTGACAGGCGATGTCAAGATCACCCTGTGCTTTATTCACCTGGAAAGCCAAGATTGCATGGTGCCTAGCTAGTCCAAAAAGGAAGTCTTTAACGCTTTGGTGGACAAAGGTTGCCTTGGGACCGATTGAGTATAAGGCATCTTGGGACTTCTCATCAGCATCGCCAAGGTGAGAAAGCTGAAGTAAGTGGCCACAAGATGCAATATAGCTCTCGCAGAGCTCTTCTTTTGATAGATAACCGGATGCATGAATCCGCATGGCTTCAGCTAGCTGAGGCACTGTTAGTGGAAACATAGCTAGCGAAATCCATTTCAGCATTTGCGATGATGGAAATGTTGTCTGGCTTTATACTCAGCAATATTCGCTCATAAGCCTTTTCGATCCCGGGTACTGTTTGCTTCTCAAGGTCATCAGCCATGAAGCTGACCCAGAGGGATGTATTTTGCGATTTCTCCCGAAATGTCTCTTCGATGTGCTTAACAAGGCTCGTAGAAATACCTTTTCGCTCGGCCAGTTGCGCAACCCGAGAGGTGATGTAAGAATTTATGTCAGGCTGATTGCTGACCTGATCTGAGTCTAGGTGGATCCGCGCGAATGAGCCCAGCATTCTCTCGAGACAGTCGGGGTATCTCCGACTAAGAATGATGAGACTTAGTCTATGCTTTTCTACGCTCTCTGTGAAGGGCGATCTAATCTTCTGAAGTAGATTCGCAAGAGAATCATCGGCGCATTCATCTAGTCCGTCAAGGACGCAGATCAAATCCGTCCCAAGTTCCAGGTCCTCTAGCATTGCCTGTAATATCCCCCAAAGGCTTTCGAACGAGTTGCTATTGAATAAAGCATCCTGCTGTATTTTCCATGGAGTGAATACATGGTGTAGAAGTCGGGGATATTGGTTGATAAGTTGATATAGTAGGCCGCGGATGATTGCAACAGCCGTGTTCCGAGATGCGTCTTTATTATCACAAAAGAAGTATATAACATGTGCAGACTCTGATAGGCGCTTAGTAAGAAAGATAGAAATAATTATATGTCTTTCCTTTTCCTGGCCCTCCTGATAGCCAAAGAAGACTCGGAGGAGGCACCTGCGATCCACTCACACGTGCCATCGACTCTAACACCCGTGATGAAGACTTTTCAGACATCGCTCTTCGTCAGTTCCAGGCTGAATCGCTGCTTTGATGAATTGGACGTCTTGCGCCGTTTGATACCCTTGCGTACTACGTTGGTATTAGTCGTAGAACTAGACTCGGCATGGTTGTAATACATACAATTGAGAAACATTGATCTTAATTAACGTCCCCTTAAGTCATTGTAGCTCCTCAAAATGCTTTATCACTACTGGTTCCTGCTCTATGCCTTTGATGGCCAGCCAAGTCTTATGCAACCGCGAGTCGCTAGCGGCGAAATCGAGGCCGCTGAATATACCTATAAGGTCACGACAGATGGTTCTGCAGCCTTCAATGGTGGCATCGATTTCATAGCTGTCGAGGCTAGGCAATGCTTCGATATTCTTGATAAGCCCCAAGAAATCTTCAATCTCCTGGCGCCAACCCTCAATCTCCTTTGGAGCGCCCTGATATTTGTCGCGAATAGACCTAATGAGCTGGACTAGCTTGAAGGCATCTTTAACAAGCTGTTCAGCCGCAGCCGCTCCTCCTAGGCCTTCCATTGCTGCGATCGATCGCACTCACGGACGACGAGGTGTAAGGTCGCACCCATAAACGACGAGGTGTAATGTGGCAGGATTGAGGGCGGGGTAAATCGATCGACGCATCCTTCTCAGAGGACAACCAGCTGTTGCGTGTATAGCCTCGCCGCACGTACCAGTTGTTCTAGCCTAGTATATCACTTAACACAGACAAGGTGCCTAGTTCTCTCAAGTCCACAGTTGCGTATAATTATTCTTCATATAGTACGGTATATATGTAGTGTCTGCTTCTTAGAAGTTAGTGTGGATGCGTGAACAGGGGCAAGGAAGCCACTATTACTCTTGGTCGTTGTCCCTTGTTATGAGCCTCAATTTCTCTAATTGGCAACCAAAACCGAAAAGATCTGTAGAGGATGGTTGTATCTTGTCCGGCAGACACGCCACCAAACCATACCCCCTCGGCAACCTCTCACAATGTCTAACCAACAGTCGACTCTAGAACGGACGCGCCGTCCTCTGTCTCGCCCCTGTAATCCCTGCTCCGCATGGCAAAAGCATCATTGACAGAACGAGAAACCCACCGACCCGATTCCCAAGTAGTATATATACCCCCCACCTTATTTCCCCTTCCCCGGCAAATTCGGATCCTCAATCTCCCCCTCCGCCGGCCTCGCCGGCGCAAACGTCCCACAAGCCTCACACCCCCTTCCCCCCTTCTCCCCCGCATACGCCTGTACCTGCTCCTTAATCTGGGTCCCCAGATCCACGCAATGGAACTCGACCTCATGCACCACCTTCCTACACGTGACGCTCGGGCAGTACCAGCGCATTTTATCCACGCTCCCATCCGGGCGGTGCTGCTCGATTACGATCCCGACTGTGTTGGCGAAGCGGACGGGGTTGTGTGGGACGTTGGGGGGGAGGAGGAACATGGAGCCCTCGGTGATGGGGAGGGTGCGCGGGATGCCGTTGTCGATGATTTTGAGGAGGAGGGTTCCGCGGTACTGGTAGAACCATTCGGGGGTGCTGTTGATGTGGTAGTCTGTGCGGGCGTTGGGGCCGCCGACGATCTGGTGGGGAGGTGGGTCAGCTGGAGCTATGGAGAGGGAATGGAGGTGCGGAGGAAGGTGGGGGGATGGAGGAGGGTACCATGACAGTCACGTCCTCATCGTAGACGCAGTAGTTGTTCACGGGTGGTTGGAGGAGGTGCGAGTTCTCCTCGAGCCTGGGGGATGTTAGATGTGCTCTCTTCTTCTGTGCTATTCCGCGGTATCCGTTCTGCGTTGTACACTTCGAATGCCACTAGGGTAGCACATTGTGCTCAGATGGCTCGCGTGTGCACAGCTCACTTACCACTTGGGCAGGTTCAACGGGCCTGGGATCATTGCTTCTGTTGTGGTTCTCAAACTGCCAGTCTTTTGGATATTCCTCTGGTAGTAGTATATATATCACAGCTACCAGACTCTCTGGAGACTCTCAATTCGAAGAAGTCGAGGTCGAAATTAGAAATTAAAAATTATGGTGATTCATAACTCCGTCCCCTCCGGCGATATGCCCTGCGCCGATCCGATCACCCCACGTCCGGGTGGCCACAGCGCGCTAGCCGGCCCCAGCGCTAGCCTTTCCAGTGCAGGGGTGTACCATTATCGCGTCGCGACAGGAGGTTCGTCGCAGCGGGCATTTGAGCACATTAGCTTACATTGTCTATTGCATCCGAGACAGCGAGAGGGAAAAGGTACAAATAGGCAACCGGCCGCAATTCAGAACGGAGGAGATATTTTGTTTACTTTGTACTGTTATTGAGACTCGAGTCTCGACGTCGACCTCGCTCCGTATAGCTACGACTGCGACGACATACCAACGACGAGACACCAGAAACAAGAACCAAGCAACAAGAACCAAGGCTCCAAGACTTCAAATCACCTAAAATGTCACACTCAATGGGCCATGGCGACCACGACGCCTCCGCTGCGCGCTGCAACATGAACGTGAGTCCCTCCCTCAGCCCCTTCCCAATCCTCCTACACACAACCAAGCTAACCTCTCCCCCAGATGCTCTTCACCTGGTCCACTCAAGATCTCTGCATTATCTTTCGCTCCTGGCACATCACCGGCCCCATAACACTCACCATCTCCCTCCTCGCCATCGTCGCTCTCGTAGCAGGCTTCGAGGCGCTCCGCGCCACGACGGCGCGGTATGATGCTGCGCTGTTGAAGCGGAGGGATGAACTACCTCGTATGTCGCATCTCATATGTTCTATCTCCCCCATCCCTCCCTCAAACCCGGCGTAGTTACGCCGCCCCCAACCTTTCCCCTTTCACCTTGTTGGCCGAGATCCTTGCTTGCTTTGAGCAGAGAGAGAGACCGCGCTGAACGTCTGAGACGAGGAACTTGCTGAGACGACGACGCTGCTCCCAGGACAGCAACAAAGTTTGAGGGATGTACGCGCAAAAGTAGTGAGGAGCGCTCTGTACGGATTGGAGACGTTTTATGCGTTTATGATTATGTAAGTTTTCTGTCGCGGGATCTACTCTACGTTTTCGATGTTTCCGTAGATGAGTGGATGGATGAATGGATACTGATTAAATAGGCTGTTGTTCATGACATACAATGGACAGGTGATGATTGCAGTGGGCATTGGAGCCTTTGTGGGCCACCTGGCGTTTGGAGGTGCGACGACGGCGACGAGGGAGACTGCCTGTCATTAGGGGAAGGGAGGAGCAGACTACCAATAGAACGGGGAGAGAAGGAGCAACATCATGCTGCAGCATTCCATTCGATCAAGTGAAGCGCTACTGTTTACCATATAGCTAGCTATATATCCATCATATATCCATCATCTACACCCACACCCACACGCTCCACGACCCTTTGATCTGATAACCACCCGGCGACGACTAGCTTCGTCCACCATCAATTGATTGTTAGAGAGAGGAGTGGGTGGTTTTGATCCCCAGCCATACAACAGCAACAGCAACAGCGTCATCATGCGCTATGTATCTGGCTCGGGGTTCGGGGTACTTCTGTGTACCTCCGTCTGCCACTCTCCCACTCTTCCCAAGTCCTAATCGTCGTGACCAAACTTTTCGCTTCGCTCACCTCCACCATAGTTGTACATAGTATTTAGATAGTAATTATATGCAATTCGTTTAATGGAAGGGACTCCTCTATCAAATGCCCGTGAGTGGCTCCTAGAGAACACCTCTGAAACAGCAACTACTGCCAGTCGGATTTTCAAAGTGCCTAAATCAACGATACAGTCAAGTATCAGCCAACTAGCTCCCACACCGAATAAGCTACTCTCTACTGCATAGACAGAGGCCATAAAGAAATGGATCCTTGGACAGTATTACCTAGTGCTTGGAGCAACTAGGAATATGATATTTGCTGTTGTCTGTAAGCTCCAAAGCCCACCGCCACACCTGTCACAGAGCTGGCTTATAAAATTTATACGGAATGAGCTCAAGGAATATCACTTTATTACTACGAAGCCAATTGCGCAGTAGCGTACAAAGGCTCAAGATGAGCCTACAGTTCTAAAGTGGTTTCAAGAGTATGGCTGGTTTATACTAGAGTGGTATAAAACCAGAGTCAATCTAGAAGATGGATGAAACTGGCTTTTGGGTTGGGATTCTAGGTGGAGAGCGTGTAATTGTGCCACGAGCCGCAAAGGAGCTCTACACCCCAAGCACTGAAATCGTACGTCTATTACTATACTTAAGGCTGTGTCTGCAAACGGAAAAGTCATACCGCCTGTACTTATCATTCTAGGCAAAATACACATGGATTGTTGGTACCACGCCAGCCTTCAAGGCACAAAGGCTCTTCGGAAAGCTGGGGGGCGAAGAAGTGATAATTTCATAGAATGGCTTGATTATGTACCTTTACATAGAAATTACTATTGAGAGGTACTTACAGTCGCAATTGTGACGAGCCAACCTTGAGTGAAGCGAAGCGAAAAGTTTGGTCACGACGATTAGTGTCTCGCTTGCCTTTCTTTATTCATAGGACACTGATCACTGATTGGCTACAGCAGCAGGGGCATATCATCATCGAGTTTCTCCGTTCTGAGCCAGTGGTGAGGAGTAACCTCATAGAGTAACCTTATAGACCCTCTAGAGTACCTAGACCCTTATAAGAGTAATCCCATAGACCCTCCCTATAGACCCTCCCTATAGACCCTCCCTATAGACCCTCCCTATAGACCCTCCCTATAGACCCTCCCTATAGACCCTCCCTATAGACCCTCCCTATAGACCCTCCCTATAGACCCTCCCTATAGACCCTCCCTATAGACCCTCCCTATAGACCCTCCTCATAGAGTACCCTCACTCCATCATACTAACTAAACTATACTAAACTATACTAAGCTATACTAAACTATACTAAACTATACTAAGCTATACTAAACTATACTAAACTATACTAAGCTATACTAAACTATACTAAACTATACTTACACTTACGAGTACACCCCTCACTCATCATATTACTCTGCTCTCACTACTGCATATCCTACTACTCCTACCCAATCTACCCTTCCTGCCCAATTACACAACTCCCACGCCTCCCACGCCCATATGCACGCCCATATGCTCGAGTCAACTACCTCTAAATAGTACAGTACCTCTATCACCTCTAACACCTCTAATAGTTAGTACCTCCAAGAGTCCAAGTCTCCCTCCAAGTCTCCCTCCAAGTCTCCCTCCAAGTCTCCCTCCAAGTCTCCCTCCAAGTCTCCCTCCAAGTCTCCCTCCAAGTCTCCCTCCCTCTACCTCCCCCTCTACCTCCCCCTCTTCCCCCTCCCCTCCTACTTCCCCCTACCTCCCCCTACCTCCCCCTACCTCCCCCCTACCTCCCCCCTACCTCCCCCCTACCTCCCCCCTCCAGGTACTTCGTCCAGTTAGAGTACCTCGTCCTCTACATCATCCCACGACGCAACACACAAATACTTACACATACACTCATACACCCACACCTTCCTACCTCTTACCCCCACCACCGCCCCCATCCTCTTCCTCCTCTTCCTCCTCTTCCTCCTCTTCCTCCTCTTCCTCCTCTTCCTCCTCTTCCTCCTCTTCCTCCTCTTCCTCCTCTTCCTCCCCCTCCTCCTCCTCCTCCTCCTCCTCCCCTCCTCCTCCTCCTCCTCCTCCTCCCCCCCCCCTTCCTCCTCTCCCCACCTCCCACTACCAAGAGCTTACTTTCTTACCTCCTTGCTCGACCTCTGCTTTGCTTGCTCTCCTCCCCATCCCATCCCATCCATCCACCCATCATCCATCCCCTCAGCTTCCTCACCTCTTCAAACCTCACCTCCAATCTCCTTCAACCCTTCAACCCTTCAACCCTTCAACCCTTCAACCCTTCAACCCTTCAACCCTTCAACCCTTCAACCCTTCAACCCTTCAACCCTTCAACCCTTCAACCCTTCAACCCTTCAACCCTTCAACCCTTCAACCCTTCAACCCTTCAACCCTTCAATCAATCCTTCAATCCTTCAACCCTTCAATCCTTCAATCCTTCAATCCCCAAACCTCGGCTCCTCACCCCGCCCTCATCGCTCCCGCTCCCTCCTCGCTTCACACCTCTTATCGCCAACCCACCCTCGCCCTATCGCCGCCGCCACCACCACCGACCGCGCACAACTCGCACAATCCCGAGAACTACACAACTCTCGCAGCCCACCTCCGCACACCTCCAGCTCAACGCATGGTGGGGACCCTCGCCGTCGCCGCCGCCACCATGCCGCCCCAGCGCTCCGCACTTACCTCGTCCTTTTCCCTCGCCGACGCAACGAATGAGGTCGTCTGTCCGCTGCGCAACCACGATGGCTCGGGTTGTCGCAAGAGGTGTCTCGGGGTGAGTCCTTCGTCCCCCATTATAGCTCTCCCATAGCTGTATCCCTCACGATGATCGAGAACATATCGCTGACAGTCTGTTGTGTATTGTGTAGGAAAAACGATATCGCTCGATGCAAGAGCACATCCGTCGCGCGCACCCGGAACACTACATCTCGAAGCTGCCGGCGACCGAGGAGAGCTTCCAGCTTATGGTCAATACCCCGCCGTCGGAGCGACCGCAGCCCGCGCAGCAGCAACAGCAGTCGTCGTCGTCGACAGGTGCGTCGCTCAATCCCTCAATCCCTCAATCCCACGTCACAGAGCTAACATAGCTATAGCACACCCTCATGAGCGCAAACACTACGCTTCGTCTAGTGGCCCGGGGACACCAAGAAATATAGACGAGTATAACACCTCCGCGCCGCCTATTGCCAATGCCGCAGCTGCGCTCGCACAGCTGCACACACATAAAGTCGAGCCGGAATGGGATTCCGATATGGTACCCCCCCCACCCCCCAAGCCATTCTAGCATAAAACAGCTACTTACACCCCAGCAGGAATGGCACTCCGACACCGAACTCCACCCCCGCAGCATGCTCTCCTCCATCGAGCTCCCCCCTCTCCGGCGCCTCGACCACCCCACCTCCAGCCCCTACACCCCCCTCCCGCGCCCACACGACCGCCTCTCCGCCCTCCTCTCCCACTCCCCCCCCAACCGCTCCTCAACACTCCCACCCATCCGGCCACCACAGGGGCACGCGCGACCGCGGAAACAGTCGTTGTCAAGACACGCGAGGGAACCGCCGCATAAGAGGCGTAAGAGCCGTGATGGGATGGGTTTGGGACATATGAGGAGGGGGAGCTATGAGAGGAAGGCGATGAGTGCGGAGCCGTCGGGGTTTGGGTATGGGAAGAGGTGGGAGGATTTGTTGGATGCGGCGACGAGTGCGACTAGTGATGTTGGGGAGGATAGGACGCCTGTATGTTTTTTTTTCTGTCCTTCCCTGCCCCCACAGTTGTCCACCTGCGGATTGTTGAAGAGAGATGAGATGAGATGAAAAATGCTAACACAACGCAGCTCCCCGCATCCCCCCTCAGCGCTCCGCGCTCCTCGCTTCCTCCAGCGCAGATGCAGGCGTACACCGCGTCGCCACTGCAGCAGGCCCTCACGCCACCGGCGTATAATTTCTCTCCCCCCGCCCTCCCGAGCGTTGAGACTATCCCTACTCCCGAGCGTCCCGACCACCGCATCCCCCACGACCACCGTGGCCCTGACAGGGGTCCAAACAGCGACCCGAGTAACGGTCCTAACCGCCTCCCCGACGGTCTACGCAACAACATCCCCCCCCACTCCAGTGGCGGGGCGAACGTACAAATCTACTGCGCAGCGTGCCAGGGGGTGAGTCTGTTGAGAGAGAGCTATGCGTGTACGGAGTGTGTGTGTGGGTTGTGTCAGATGTGTGTTGATGTACTTATGGCGGGGCAGGGGGCGAGGAGGAGGTGTCCGAGGTGTGCGTGTGTGGGGGGGAGGTTTAAGCCTTTTCAGTTGGATGTTAGGTAGGCTGTTCTGTGCGCGCGTATTGGTGGCGCGGCTTGTTAGAGATGGTATGCGTTTCCGTCTTTGGGTGGTGTTTGGGTGGGAGTGATGTGGGGGTGAGAGGTGAAGGGTGAGAGAGAGGGTTGATGATTTTTTTATGAGGTTGGTTAGGTTGGTTAGGTTGGGTCGTTATTGTGATTTTGGCGTTTTCAATCCCCTGCTTTATGGATACGGGTTATGGCTTTTTATGGATTTATGGTCGGGTTGGGGGGGTTCTTTGGGATGGGTTGGGTTGGATTAAAGTCTTCCATGCTTGTTTTTGGAATTTTGTTTTGTTTTGGGTTGTGCGGGACTTGAGCATCTGTTTTCCAACAAGGGCCTGATGGGATTGTTTGGAAAAGAGGGGGAGGGTGTAGATGTAGATGTCTAACGCTCGAAGGGTGATGAGATTTGATAAGATGGCTGATGAGATGAGATGATGCGGGGTTGGACTACTGTTCACTGGACTAGGGGAGTTAGACGCATGCATAGCATACATACATGGATGGACCTATAGATGAATCGAGGGATTTTGATCTTGATCTTGATGTCATATGTTATCGTGGATTCGGAGTGATGAAGTAACGTAACATCAGAGCACTAAGAGCAAAACACAAGTCCTATATCAGAGGACTTCACACCTACATGTCCCCTCGCCACCTCTGTAGCCATGCAGCTACCCCATAGCCCCCCCCCTCCTCGGCTCTGTCGCGAGTGGTGCACTGGTTTCCGCCGGGACGAGGCCAGCGGTATGATGGATAGTGTGGACTCTCGAGCGTCTCCGTCGCAGATGAAAGAGCTAATCTGGTCGTTGTTGAGCCCGTCGTACTCCCAGATATCGTCTATGTCGTTCGTGGAAACCGGCCTCGATGAAAGCACCCTCGCAGCAGCTGTGGTCCCTGGATTCGTTAGTTAGCTCTGGTAGAGCAGTGGTCTGGGGAAAAGCTTATTAAAGCTTTAGCTTTTTTTGGACTCCGACCCCCCTGCGTGTGAGCTTGGGGTGCAGTTTGTATCACGTGATCTAAAAAGTTCTGTCACATGATCTGCTGTCTGTGCGTTGTGCCTGCCTTCACCAGCTTCTGACCCATAGCACGACAATTCTTGACTACCACGGCCGCAATGGAAGCTAAATACTGTTCTGGGTGCGCCCAGAAGCGCCCTATCTCTTCGTTCCTGAGAGATCCATCTGCCGGCCTGGCTGGTAGGGTATTCGCAAGCTGCATTGGGTGCCGAGCTGCACAAGAGAGGTATAAGAAGAAACGGAAGGCCTCGCGCCAGCTACGTCCTCAGAACGCTCCTGTGCTCCCAGAGCCTTCGATGCCCGCTAATGATACGCGTGTAGAAGCTTTGGCTCCCCTCGAATCACGTCCCGGACCATCCGTGCTGCCTCCTCCAGCCGAAACACGTCCAGAGCCACCTGTGCCCACACAACCTCAACCCCAGGGCTTTCTCTCGGCCGAACAATGGGGACTCATACAGGATTTTCATACAGCAATGGGCAGGGTTGGGATGCAGACCTGCGGCCGTTGTAAGGAGCGGTGGTTCTCTATGGACCTGAAGGGCGGGATCTGCCACGCCTGCTTCCTACGGGATAAGTGTAACGCTGACTTCTAAACGATAGAAGACACAGAGGTTCTCTTGCGTAAAGGTTTACTTATCAGAGGAGGCAGGGGATCAGACACAAAGGCTTCAAGTAACACGTTACTAGTATATAACAAATACTGTATTGAGTTGAGCACGAAGCTCCTATCTAAGGAAATACTATCTACTTATATAGTGGCGTCGTGCCTAGTGGACTCTTGGGAACTCACTCGAGTCCTCGGAGTCCTGGACTCTTAGGACTCTTCTCATCATCCTGCGAGTCCATCACGTGCCTAGTGGACTCTTGGGAACTCACTCGAGTCCTCGGAGTCCTGGACTCTTAGGACTCTTCTCATCATCCTGCGAGTCCGTCACGTGATACTTTCGGAACTACTATTCCCCGCTGCCCCTCCAGGTACCAGGGCCGGTCTCATGCGACCTCCCTCCTTCCTGTCCTGTAGTTGGCCAGCCTTCTTGTTCCGTCGTAACACTCGCTCCCTTCCCCTGGGCATTCGTCTCGAATCCTATAAGTACGTCCATGTCTCCGGGACTCTGCTGCTCCTCAGCGAGTCCTTCAACATGCAACATGCCTACTGACACTGCCCGCAAACTCCAGGAACGCAACGATCTTGTCCGTCGAATAAAGAACCACGGATACGAACTACCCGAAATGGATTCTTGCTCGAACTGCGTGAGGCGAAACATTACTTGCGTGTCGTCTCCAAATGATTCACGGCGGTGCGCCGAGTGCGTTCGTCGCAACTTGAAAGAAAAGTGTGACTGTATGGGTCCTGAGCATCCCGACTGGGTGAAGCTCGAACGGGAGGAGGATCGCCTGGATCGCGAAGAGGAAGAAACCCTTTCGAAGTTACTTCGTCTGCGGAAGCAGAAACGCCTCATCCGAACCCGTGGTAAAGATATGCTCCGGCGAGGTTTGAAAACCCTCGACGAGCTTGATGCGGCAGAGGAGGCCGAACGTGTGGCTGCTGAGAAGCGTGATGCTGTTGAGGCCGAGGAACAGGCAGTTAGCGCTGCCTCCTCGTCTGTGACCGGGACCCCCGCTTCCTCCGATCCACTGGCCTACTCCCCTGCATCTTGGGATCAATGGCTGGCGGATGGCGGCGTCGATATTCCTCCAGCAGTTCTTTGCTGATGTTCCTTGTTGGTTCCCACGAATTATCCGTAGGTTCGTAATTTTCCCATTTTATCAAAAACTCTTCTCGACGTCCTACTAACCTTCTGTCTAGGATCGCTTCGACCTCATATTCGATTATCTCATTCTCGGGTTGGAGTTCGGTGTCGGTCGCAACTGGGGTATTTCCTCTTGCTGGTTCCAGTAGTGAGACATGAAATACCGGGTGTAGTCTAGACTTCCTGGGTAGCTGCAGTCTGTAATTAACTGAGCTGACTTTGTTCAATATTTTGAATGGTCCCAATTTCTTGAAGTCCAACTTTGTGCTTGGTCGTTTCGTTTTGATATGTTTCCGGAGTAGGTATACTTTATCCCCCTCCTTGAAGGCAGGTTCCATACTGCGCTTCTTGTTTGCGTATGCGGCGGATCGTTCATTTAAGAATTGGATGTCCGTCGCAAGTTGTTCATGGAACGATTTCAGTTGTTCCACCACGATCAGGGCTTGTTCAGCTCGTGATTCATCCGGTCTTGGTTGCCTATATGCTTCTGGCTGGTAGCCGTAATTGGCAAAGAACGGTGAGACTTTGGTTGCTTCTGTCATCGCGCTGTTATATGCAAACTGTGCGATGGGTAAGATCTGAACCCAGTTATCCTGTTGATGATTGACATAGCTTCGCAGGTACTGTTCAAGGGTCTGATTTAATCTTTCTGTTTGGCCGTCTGTCTGGGGATGAAAAGCTGTTGATAGCTTATGATTTGTTCCCAGTAGCGCCATCAATGATTTCCAGAATTTCGAAGTAAAGAGCTTGTCTCTATCTGAGATGATTTCTTCTGGCATCCCATGATCGGCTAATATGACTCGAATGAAGGTATATGCGAGCGCCTCGGCGTCGCTAGCTTCTAGGTATGGTATAAACTTCCCATATTTCGTGAGTCTTTCCGTGATGACGAGGATAGAGTCGTATTCTATTCCTGTTAACGGGTCCTTGGAGGGTGGAAGCTTGACGATGAAGTCCAAAGCTATTGATTTCCACGCTCCTTTTGGTACTGGTGTCGACTTGAGTTGTCCGTATGGCAGATGCCTATTGGATTTTGACTTGCTGCAAATGTCGCACTCTCTTACCACTGTCTCTACCTGCTTCCTCATACCTGGGAAGTAGTAGTGTCGGGTGATTCGTTCGAAGGTTCGCGTTACTCCCTGATGACCGTGTGCTGGTAACGAGTGTTGTTCTTGCACCAGCGGGCGTCTCATTTGACTTGGGACATACACTAAGCCTTTGTATCGAATCAATCCTTGTTCGTCGATGGTGAAGTCGCCTTCGACTTTGGACAAGACTCGCTTGGCGCATTCGTCTGTTGCGTAAGCTTTCTTGAGTCTTTCCTCGAGTTCTGTATCTTCGATGACTGAGATCGTCGCTAGTAACTCGTTGTACTGTATTCCTGCATCTGTTTTCTTCAGAATTGCTCTAGGTCTTTTTTCCTTTGGGCCGGTGTAGTCGGTCCGTCTGCTGAGAGCGTCTGCTCTTGCATTCTCGGAGCCCTTGCGATAGGTTATCGTGAAGTTGTAGGCTGCGAGGGTTTCTGCCCAGCGGACTTGTCTGCGGTTTAAAACCTTGGTCGTGGTGAAATATATGAGGTTCTTGTGATCCGTCCATACCTGCACCGGGTAGGTGGATCCCTCAAGATATACTCGCCACTGCTCAAAGGCAACGACAATAGCCAGTAGCTCCTTGTCGTGGATGTCGTAATTGAGTTCCGCGGGTGACAGTTTCCTAGAGTAGTACGCGATTGGTTTGAACTTACCGTTCTCGTCTGGTTGATTCAGACATGCTCCAATTGCGAAGTCAGAAGAGTCCGTTTCGAGGATGATCTTCTTTGCAGGGTCAAATGTAGCAAGGATAGGTGCTTCCGTGAACTTCGTCTTAAGTTCCTGGAAAGCAGCCTCTGCCTTGTCCGTCCATTTGAATTCGAGATCCTTTCTGGTAAGCTCCGTGAGTGGTTGAGCTACCTTGGAATATCCCGAGATGAATCTTCGGTAGAAGTTGGCGAAGCCTAGGAAGGCTTGCACTTCCTTGACCGTGGTCGGTGTTGGCCATTCCAACACTGCCGTTACTTTTGCTTGGTCCATCTTGATGCCATGCGTTCCAATAATGTAACCCAAGAATTCGACTTGGTTTTTATGGAACTCGCACTTCTCTGGTTTGAGGAGTAAGCTGTACTCCTTTAGTTTCTTCAGGACGAGTTTGACATGCTTGACATGCTCCTCCTTGGTTGCTGAATACACCAGGACATCGTCTAAGTAGACAATGGTAAAGATGTCTAAGTATTCGTGCAAAGCATCATTCATCAGTCGTTGCATAGATGCGGGTGCGTTTGTTAGCCCAAAGGGCATGACTTGATACTCGAATAGGCCATAGCGGGTGCGGAATGCTGTTTTCCACTCTTCCCCAGCCTTGATTCGGATCAGGTTGTATGCTCCTCGCAGATCTAGCTTACTGAAGATCTTTGCTCCTTGAAATCTATCGTGTAGTTCGTTGATTAACGGCAGGGCATACCTGTCCTTGATTGTGATGTTGTTCAACGCTCGATAGTCCACACATAACCGTAGGGAGCCGTCTTTCTTTGGTACGAAAAGCACCGGACTTCCTGCTGGTGATGTGGATGGTCTGATGAATCCTTTCGCTAGGTTATCATCTATGTACTCCTTAAGTACCTTCAGCTCCTTTTCCGATAGCTGATATATTGGTCCGAATGGTGGACTCTTGTCTTTCTCCAAAGGTATCTCGTGATCCCATGGTTGGTGCTTAGGAAGCGCCTCGTTCTTAGGGCCTTCCTGGAATAATTGCTCGTATTCCTTGTACTCCACCGGTATACTCGTCGGTGAGGATGCCTGGGCTAGGTCATCGAGCTCGGAGGTTGCACATAACTCCTTCCGGCCCTGGGAGGGTTTCTCCCGTTGTCGCGTGTCCGTCCGTTGTTCACACGCGCACTGGCTCATCACAACTTTCTCGTTCCACCAGTCGATCTGGGGGTTGTGTTTCTTGAGCCATGGCACACCAAGGATGCACGCATGGTTGTCCATGTGCACGATGTCAAACTGAATCGTTTCCTTGTGCCCGTGTAGCATGACCATTTCCAATGGGACCGTTTCGTGGGTCACCATTCCTTCATTAGTCGAGATGGGCTCTCCATCTACGACCATTAATGGGTATGGTTCGGTTTTCAATTGCGTCTTGAAACCTTGCGTGTCTGCTACTTTCTTTGTCATAAAGTTGCCCGTCGCTCCTGAGTCAATCATTGCTCGGAGGTGTCGCTGTTGTATCTTAGCGACCACATATAGTTGCATGCTGCCCGTCGTGGCGCATAGCTGGTCTGTACTAGGCCTCTTCGTGTCGCTCGCCGGTGGCCTACCGTCGAGGACTCCTAGTTTTTTGACTCGTCCGAGGAAGGATAGTATTCATCCGCTTCCAATGGTGGTCCTTGGGGAGATCGTTTCCCTCGCTCTTCTGCTTTGTCTAGCAGATGTGGGTATTTCTTGTATACCTGTTCGCTTTTGATAGGCAAGTCTCCTTCAGACTGGCTTCGCCTGAGGGCGTGAACTTGCTCTGCGTCTCTGAAGTGTATCCTGGGCGAGGATCGGGGAAACAACTGATTCTGGTGTTTCTTTTTCCAGTGGAGCTTGCAGTCATCTTCGCTGCAATACTCCCAGTAGACATACGCGTGCCAGGGATGATCAGTCTCTGTTGCGTCTGTCGTTGATAGTTCCTGCTGTCCTCTCACCCATGCACTATCTTCCCTCGGAGGCGTGGAGAACGTGTCTAGTTGCTCCATGGCTCTCCTTTCGATGCGTGGAGTGGGTCTCGCATTTTCCCGTCGGAGCATATCTCTGGCTTTCTCGTCGTACTTCTTCAGGGCTCTCCTGCGGTCCTGGTAGTAAAGTTCGACGCTTTTCATATACTTCAGTTTAGCCATATGCTCGACATCCTTCTCCAGTTCTTCCGCTTCTTGGGCTTCCAACTTAGCTAC